TATGATATATGTTCGTTTTTTATCATAAGTAATAGTATTCAGAAAAATGTGATGGCACCATTTATCATAGATTCAGTACTTTCATTTTGAATAAATGAAAATGAACAAGTAGTATTAACATAGTTAGTTCTGAAATTCTTCTCCCCTTTTTTTTTTTGATATTTGGTAGATAATAATATGGATGAAATGTCCGTTATAACTTTAATGGATGAACTGGTTTCTATAGTTGGCACTGTAGCTGTAATTGTTGGCAGAGGCCTTGCAGTTATTTTAGACACTGTAACAGTAGTTTTGGGCACTGTATCTGAAATTGTGGGTACTGCAGCTGTAGCTTTTAATAAAAATGTACATTTATCATAAAAAAAATAATCTAAATAATACAAAAAGAGTAGTTGTAATAAATCTTACACATGTTTATCTTTTATTAAACAATTACATTTTGTAAATAGAAAATGAGTGTTTTCTTTGATAAATAAAAACAACAGCAAAAATTTATAAAACAATTTTCTATCATGTTTACATTCAATAAACCATATAACAAAATTCAAGTCCTGTTATATTTGTTCCTAGAAAACCAAAACTTATAGAGTTATACTGTTTACCTATCATCAAAAATCTTCAGTATTTTCCATGTTTACAGAGTTGTTTCCAAATTTACAAACATAACGTGACTAAATATATATACATGTATATATAAATATATAAAAAGCACCAAATCATTAAGGTTAACAATGACTAGGAAGACAATTCATTGGCAAATGTACTTATTCTCTTATTTAACATTTAGCATGGTGTTTATGTATTAGGAAATCAATACAAACGTAAATATAATATTTCTTAAGATTTCTGAGATCACCCCCAGTTTTTGGTGAGGTTCATGTTGCTCAGTCTGTAGTTTTCTATGTTGTGTTTTGTGTACTATTGTTTATCTGTTGGTCTTTATTCTTTTTTAGCCATGGCTTTGTCTGTTTATTTTCGACATATGAGTTTGAATGTCCCTCTGGTATCTTTTGCCCCACTTTTAAACTAATCTATATCTAAACTCATGGCTTTAACAAAGTATGGAAAAATCTACTTTAAAATTAGTAAAAAAAACAATTTGTCCTATCATATCAGTTTTACATTTTTGTAAGGAGGAAATTTAACATTAATATGACAAATCATTATAAAAGGAGATAGTTTAAAGGAGCATTAGCTATGGGATATAAAAACAATTAAAGTATAATTTTTTCCCAATCCTTAATGAAAATGAAATAGTGAAATAACATTTGGCTTTTAGCAGCCAGTTTAGTTCAATTTTGTCAAAATAAGCAAGAAGTGAATAATTCGATCTCATTGAATCCATATTCATGTAAACTTCAATATAACCCATTAACTAGAGATTGGGTACGCGTATATTAGTCGTGTTCAGCCATTAAAAGGAAAAGAATGTCAACATTAAAAGTGAAACTAAAGTGAACCATTTCGTTGAATGATTCAATCAATAAAAAAAATCATTCTTTTACAGGTAAAAACGACGATTAACTTATTTTGTTTAACCTAAAACATGAAATCAAACAGACCTAGGAAAGTCCAAATGCACGAGGTTGCTATCTATTTATATTCATGTTTATGCTTATTTCGGATTATATGACCATCGACAGCCTTCTGAGGTCATCTCGATGGTTAATAAGTTGGCGTCTAGACTAAAATACACACAAAATGCTGATACATTTTATCGAGTGCATACATTGTTAATTGTTTATTTCAGACCTATTGTAATTTTTATATAAGCTTTAGTATGTTATTAATCAAATATGAGAATTTGAGTCAATTCGGTGGACATGGATTTGACAGCAAATGCCCTTTTAAAATTGATATTACAAAGTGCTTTACAATGAGATAATATAACATTAAAGAAATTGAAAACAGTGAACATTTTTATGATATATGTTATTAAAAAGTGAGATATTTTAACTTGAATAATAACTCAAGTTAGTATAAAAGATGACCTAAAAATAACACATCTTTGCTTTCAATCAAAATAATATAATTATACTATTTATAACAAAGTTAGAGAAAAATATACTTTAAAACTAGTCAAAAAACCAAAGAATTTGTCTTAGTATATAGGCAAAGATTAAGTTTTTGGTTACATTTCCGTTAGGACGTATTTAACATTAAAATGATAAATTGTTATAAAAGGGGGATTTAACATTGGTATTGTAAATTGATTTACAATGAGATAGTTTAAAATTAAGGAAATGGAAAAACAGTTCTCATCTTTATGATATATTTTGGTACAAAGTGATGTTATTTAACTTTAACCATATCTCAAATCAGTATAAAAGATGACATAAAAAATCCATGCATTACATCAAAACAATATGCTTATAAACATAACATTTCTTAAAAGGCAACAATATCTATACTTAAAAATAAACATAAATCGATATGAAATGCTGATACTTTTTATGGAGTCCATGCATTGCTAATTGTTTATTTCAGACATATTGTAATTTGGATAAGGTTTTAGTATGTTATAAATCAAATATGAGAATTTGAGTCAATTCGGTGAACATGGATTTGACAGCAAATGCCCTTTTAACATTGGTATTATAAATTGATTTACAATGAGATAGTATAACATTAAAGAAATTGAAAACAGTGAACATTTTTATGATATATGTTGTGAAAATGTGAGATATTTTAACTTTAATAATAACTCAAGTCAGTATAAAAGATGACCTTAAAATAAAAAATCTTTGCTTTAAATCAAAACAATATAATTATACTATTTATAACAAAGTTAGAAAAAAAGGTCTACTCTAAAACTAGTCATAAATTCAAAGAATTTGTCCTATAATATAGGCAAAGGATAAGTTTTTGGTTACATTTCTGTAAGGAAGAAATTTAACATTAAAATGATAAATTTTAATAAAAGGGGAAAGTTTAACATTGATATTATAAATTGCTTTACAATGAGATAGTTTAACATTAAGGAAATGGAAAAACAGTTATCATTTTTATGATATATGTTGGTACATAGTGATTGTATTTAACTTTAACCATATTTCAAATCAGTATAAAAGATGACAGAAAAAATCCATACATTACATCAAAACAATATGCTTATAAACATAACATTTCTAAAACTCAACAATATCTAAACTAAAAAAAAATCTAACTATAAAACTACTAAAATTATTGTCATATTATATCATCAATGTATAAAATTGTGTTTGGATTTCTGTATGATACTATTATGAATAAAATGTATTTGTTTAACCTATTGTTATAAAAACTGGAAGTTTAACATCGGTTTCATAAAATTGCATTGAAAAGAGGTAAAGTAACAGTAGAACTATGTACGGAGAGTGCTAAACATGTTTTTATTCTTTTGATAAGTTTAAAACAGTTAACATTAACAACATAATTAGGTACTTAGTCTTTTAAAATAAAATTTTATCAATAGATATTGATGGTTATGCTCCAGTAATCTAGGGATTGGTCAACTTTTTGTTTTGGTAATAGAAATGAATAGATTTCTAAGGTCTAGTAATTTAGAATACATTAATTGTGTAATAATGATGAAACCTTTTATGATAGAAGATTTAAACTTTGACAAGTAAAAATCATTTAAGGTTATTGGATGGTCATGTCACTTAGGGGTTTAAGGATTAAAAAATGGAGATGCCAATTTCAGTTTCATAGGGAACTTTAATTGATTAATGAAATAGCACACTTAAATAAATTTTTGGGTAAATCAAAATGTACATAAAAAACATATGAAACTTGAAAAAATATATATAATTTTGGTCATGGTATAAGAAAAGGAATGGTTCTTACATGTTTAACAAATACCATATAGTTTAGTGTTTTGCTTAATAAAGTTGCAAAAAATCTCGCTTATACTGAACGTCTGTGTTACCTTAGGGTAAGAAATGGATTAGGATCATAAAGGAACTATCTAAACTTTAAAGTGTATAAATTTTATTTTGTGACTTGAATTGTGATTTGTCTCATCTTAATATCATGTGTACTATAATATTATACAGAATAAACTAGGATATTTTAATTGGATCTTTTTTTAAATTAATAACTTGTGTTTAATGAGAATAAAGTATATATTAATTTCATTACATATCCTTTTTTTTTTTTTTGTTGTTGATACTATTGTATTTTTCATTTGTTTTGTTGAGAGGTTCATCATTCTGTTATGCTAGTTGGTGATATTTTATACAATTGTCAGTTAAGATATTGTAACAAAAAAACACCCACATCTATAGGTTCACATTTTTCTTTCAAAGCCCATCAGATAATGTATGGAAACTTTGTATGATAAATGTTTATAATGTTGATTGATAATTATAAATTTTTCAGTTCATGGTGTGTGGTTTCTTAAAGGTATTTAATAGATATATATTTAATTTATGTATGACCACCATCGTATGTAATTCAGGTGTTATAAAGATATAATGATATAATTTGGGGGTCATATTCAATTAAGTTTGTTATGACCCTCATCTTATGACATTAAGTTTTACATATTATGAGGTTTTAATTCATATAATTTATTTATGACCCCCATCTTCTATTTATGACCCCTATATTATATCATTTTATGTCATATTATGTCATATTATGTCATTTGAGATTATGTAAGATGATATAACTTGGGGGTCTTAAATTTTTTTTGGGGGTCCAAGAACCCCCTATAGTAGTCATTTAGTGGTGTTTTTTAATGGACATGCTGTTTTGTTAAGTTGTGATGTCTTGATACTACTATAAAGATACCATTCTGCTATTAATTAATTGCTGTCGCTAAAATGGGCATTGATAATTTCACTTTTTGCTAAAATAGATTAAAAATCTGGCGGTAAAATTGGTCACATTTTAGCGCTAAAATGTCCTCCGCCGACATAAAGAGGTAAAGAGGTACACGACAAATTCGAAAAACTAAAAATAGAATCATACTTGTGTAAATTCATTTCATTTATTTATATTTAATTTCATTTCAGGCTTCATCCCTTGTTGATACAGCGTTTACATTGAAACAGCTACTTGAAACTGACGTAATAGAAGAAATTGCAGCTTAGTGTAGAGGATGATTTATTTGAAAGGCGACAACTAATATGTACACTTCAAAATTACAATGCTCTGTTAATTGCACAGCCCATATTGAATTACAAATGTAATAATGATAAAGGGAAAAATATCCATCGATTTAATCGTAGAGATTTATTATCTATACCTAATGTGATTTCCTCAACATAAGGAATGAATTTTCAGCGACTCTTTTAATGACGCTGTAGTCAATAGCTAAAAACATTTAAACCAAATGATATAAGAGTCTTAAGAAAGCAGCAAACCAGCAAACTCAATTTTCCTTGTGTGCCTGTACCAAGTTAGAAACCTTAAAGTCAGTGGTTGTAGTTTGTTGCTGTCTGTCATATTTGTTAATGTTTATTGTATTGTCATTATTCAGGCCTTTGGTTTTTTGTTTGTTACACATTTTGTCAAGTCAGGGCCTTTTATGGTTTGGGAGTTCAATTTTACCCCAAAAAAAATTGGTATTTTTCCTGATTTTAATTAAATTTGAAAATTTGAATGTTATTTGAATAACTTTATTCACGTGAAAAAAAATCATGTGATTTTCACGTGAAATTCTCACGAGTTTCACGTATAAGCTCGTTTGAGGTGAAATTCACATGAGATTCACATGAATCTAAATTCACGTGAAATTCATGTGAGTAAAATTTCGCTTTATAGTTTCCAATAATTTTACTGTTAAGCTTAAGGGTCCTGTTAAACAGGAAATACTGTGTTAGGGATAATTTGTGTAAATTGTGCATCTTTATTTGAAAATATTTAAAAGGATTAGTTTTCTTAAATCTGATATCTTTGGACTTTCACAGACAAACTGATCGGTCATAAAATGTCATTATATTGTTATACTTATTATCGTTTTATCTAAATCATTTTATTTGCAATATTTGTCCGTCAAAGTCATTTTATGAACATGTAACGATTTTTCTTTATAAAGCTTTTTGTGTTATAAGTAACAATTTAGTGTCAGTATATTTTTACAAAGTCGGAAATTTGTTTCAATATAATTCTATTTGTAAATAATAGATAAAGTCACAGCTTTGTATAGTTCTTAAATTTTCTTATGTAAAGAATAAATAATCCTTTAGTCATTTCAATTAGCGCTATTAAGCCTTAAACTCAAACGACAGATTTTTGTAATATTCTTTTGTTAATCTTTCAAGTGCTAATTGTATTATTTCATTGTCATTCGGTAATCTCGTTTCTATTATTGTAACCATGTAAATTCTTGATTTAAATATGTTTTCTGAAGTTCTTACTTCAGTGAGAATCGGGCATTCGTACTGACAACATCCGCTCATTTGTAAAAGTACATGTATTCCATCCTGAATCAATAAATTGTTAACTACTGCATAGGACTTGTGTCTAATTCTACAAGTGAAGTTCAAGCGAGTATTCTCAGGCAAGTGACTAAGTCTTAGTCGTTGTCTATCGTTGGCTTCGCAAACGTCTGCAACCAGTCGTTGGTTGCAGCTCGTTATCATCGTCAATCAAGTAGCCAGTCGCCCGGTTACATTTATGGTGGAGGAAACCCAGAGGCGTGTCAACTTTTTAGTTCGACACACAGTACCAGTACCTCAAGCAGCAAGTGACATTTCGACTAGTTCCCATCATCTCAGTTTATTCAGCGATGAAATATAGTTTTCGACCTCAATGAAGAACGTGGACATTTTATTCCTGTCAAAATCTAATGTGTGTCAGATGTGGATTACAAAATCATCGCTTTGGAACACGTTCAGCAATAGATAAGGAATGCTTCAAATGCAACAAATTCGGACATTATTCAAGACAATGTTGGAGTAAATCAAGTAAATTTTCAAACTCTTTACAGCTCGTCCAGGAGAAAACAAAGCATAAAATGGAAGGCGATACCAAAAGACTGAACGAATATTATGAAAGAAAAAATGCAATGCGCGTGTTACGATTCTCTGGCATAAGATCTACAGCTTTTCAAAATTGCTTCGACGTTTAATTTATTCTTCGTTCCGAACTAAAGTCTGTAAAAAGTCAACTGCACGAATGTAAAGCCACACACAGAAAGGATATAACAAAATTGCAAGACCAGCTAACAGAGTTCGAGCATGAAAACACAAGCCTAAAGAAGCAAATAGAAGACTCAGCAATTCAAGATTCAAAAACTATCCAACAATATTCAGACAAAATTTCTCAACTTGAATCCAAACTCAGTGATAGTGAAAACTTTGTTAATATAATAACAGGTCTCAACAAGCAAACTCAAACATGGATTACAGAACAAGAAGAAAAACACAAAAACGAAAAGGACAGACTCATTTGTCGTAGTGATGAACTTTATAAAACTATTCAAATATTATCGGATGAAAATAATCGATTAAAATTAATGCAGCAACAGACAAACGATCCATCAGCAAATAGCAACAAACATTTTCGAGAAAAAAGACATTATCGAAGGAGATAATTTTAATTTAACCTAAAAGCGGGGACGCTTTGGATTTCATAGGGGAGGGAATCTGCGATAGGGATAATTTGTGTAAATTGTGCATCTTTATTTGAAAATATTTAAAAGGATTAGTTTTCTTAAATCTGATATCTTTGGACTTTCACAGGCAAACTGATCGGTCATAAAATGTCATTATATTGTTATACTTATTATCGTTTTATCTAAATCATTTTATTTGCAATATTTGTCCGTCAAAGTCATTTTATGAACATGTAACGATTTTTCTTTATAAAGCTTTTTGTGTTATAAGTAACAATTTAGTGTCAGTATATTTTTACAAAGTCGGAATATTTGTTTCAATATAATTCTATTTGTAAATAATAGATAAAGTCACAGCTTTGTATAGTTCTTAAATTTTCTTATGTAAAGAATAAATAATCCTTTAGTCATTTCAATTAGCGCTATTAAGCCTTAAACTCAAGCGACAGATTTTTGTAATATTCTTTTGTTAATCTTTCAAGTGCTAATTGTATTATTTCATTGTCATTCGGTAATCTCGTTTCTATTATTGTAACCATGTAAATTCTTGATTTAAATATGTTTTCTGAAGTTCTTACTTCAGTGAGAGTCGGGCATTCGTACTGACAACATCCGCTCATTTGTAAAAGTACATGTATTCCATCCTGAATCAATAAATTGTTAACTACTGCATAGGACTTGTGTCTAATTCTACAAGTGGAGTTCAAGCGAGTATTCTCAGGCAAGCGACTAAGTCTTAGTCATTGTCTAATGTTGGCAACGCAAACATCTGCAATCGGTCGTTGGTTGCAGCTCGTTATCATCGTCAATCAAGTAGCCAGTCTCCCGGTTACAATACCCAGAAATTCCTATGACTCAAACAACTTTATTTCTCTTAAGGAGACATTTACATATTAATTTGAACTCAATATTAGGAGTAATCGCTGCAACACACAATGCAAACTTACACATTTATTTATTCATTTATTATCTTAGTTTGTTTCTTGCATAACTTAGTGCCTTATCTCGGCATTGCCTTTTCTATGGACTGATGATCCACAAGAAGCTTTTCTTTACTCAATTTTTTAAACAACCAACTTTCTTATACGGTTGCATATACATTTACTTTTATCTTTTGTAAGTTAAAATTTGAGCCATTATTTTATGGTTCCCATATAAACAAAGGCATTCCCTTGTCACCATCTTATGGTGTTTATATATCTCAACTTATTCAATTCGCTCGTGTATGTAACAACGTATTTGATTTTAACGAAAGAAACCTCTGTATTACTGAAAAATTATTACACCAGGGTTTTCGATATCACAAACTAGTCAAAACATTTACTAAATTTTATCATCGATACAAGGACATCATTCGTAAATATAAATCAACATGCAGACATCTTATACGTTCAGGTAATTCACATTCAATCTTTTATGGTAATATTCTACACAAAGCACAAAAATGTCGACATTCACTTCAAAAGCTAACCAAACCTTTAAACAGACTTATTCAGAAGGGATATAGTTACGATACTGTTGAAAGATGGCATATTTTGGTATTCATAGTGATTCACTCATAGGGTCTTTGCATCGGAAATAAACACATTCATTCTAAAACCAGTTGTTGGCATAATACGGGTATTTTCTACTCATACATTTTATGATGGTATGATACTTAACCCCTAACGGGAGGGATTGTGCTTGATGAAGACATAATCTTTCAATCAGTTTAATTGAGGTCTGGAGCTGGCATGTCAGTAACTGCTAGTAGTCGTTTGTTAATTTATGTGTCATTTTGCTTAGTTTCTTTTGTTACCTATTCTGACATCGGACTCGGACTTCTTTTAAACTGAGTTTTACTGTGCGTGTTGCTGTGTGTTTGTTTATTTTACATTGGCTAGAGGTATAGGGGGAGGGTTGAGATCTCACAAAACATGTTTAACCCCGCCGCATTTTTCGCGCCTGTCCCAAGTCAGGAGCCTCTGGCCTTTGTAAGTCTTGGTATGTTTTTTTTTAATTTTAGTTCATTTATATGTTTTGAAGTTTAGTGTGACGACCATTTTCATCGACCTAGTACACATTTTTGTTTAAGGGCCAGCTGAAGCCCGCCTCCGAGTGCGGGATTTTCTCGCTGTGTTGAAGACACATTGGTTGTCTTCGGCTGTTTTCTGCTCTTTGGTCGGGTTGTTGTATCTTTGACACATTCCCCATTTCCATTTTCAATTTTATTTCTTTTAATCCTCAATAGTTGAATAAATTTGAACCGCCTGAACATTTACTTCCAAACACTATTACATTTTAAATTTCTACTATGTCCTATTTTGTATTTTCTGTTCTCATAAACGAATCTTTGTTCTGTCATTATTTTTCAACGACCATTACATTATTCGCCACTTATTTAGACTTTTTTTCTCAAAAACATTCATTTATTTTATTTATTTACTTACATTTTCAGCCTTTACATTTTTCATAGGCTTTTTCTTAACAGCCATTTGAGCCTCCAGATTACTTCGCGTGAAATTAAAGGTTAACCACTTTATTTTGCTTCTCAGTCCTCGCTTAAAGAAAAGGATTTTATAAATGAAAGTTAGAGGAATTTGGACTTCACATTCAAATTTACACATACAACTCGCTTTGTTTATTAATATTGCTCTGATAAATTTGATTTTTTTTTAAAATCATTTGCTGTCCTATTTTACACACCTATCCGTTATTTTAAACAATTTAAAACTTTATTTACTTACACATAAAATTCAAAAATGCCTATTTTATTTTATTTTATTTTTATGTTTTGTCATTCCATACATAAAATTGAGAATGGAAATGGGGAATATTTCAAAGAGACAACAACCCGATCAAAGAGCAGACAACAGCCGAAGGCCACCAATGGGTCTTCAATGCAGCGAGAAAATCACGCACCCGGAGGTGGTCCTCAGCTGGCCCCTAAATAAAATTGTGTGATAGTTCAGTGAAAATGCACGTCACACTAAACTCCAAAACATATAAATGAACTTAAATTAAAAAACATACTAGACTAACAAAGGCCAGAGGTTCCTGATTTGGGACAGGCGCAAAAATGCGGCGGGGTTAAACATGTTTTGTGAGATCTCAACCCTCCCCCTATACCTCTAGTCAATGTAGAATAAAGAAACACATAGCAATTCGTACAGTAAAACTCAGTTTAAAAGAAGTCCAAGTCCGATGTCAGAATAGGTAACAAAAGAAACTAATCAAAATGACAATGATACATAAATGAACAAAGGACTACTAGCAGTTACTGACATGCCAGCTCCAGACCTCAATTAAACTGATTAAACGATTATGTCTTCATCATATGAAAATCAAGTACAATCCCTCCCGTCAGGGGTTTAGTATCATACCATCATAAAATATATGAGAAGAACATAACCCGTATCATGCCAACAACTGGTTTTAGAATAAATGTGTTTATTTCCGTTGCAAAGACCCTATGAGTGAATCAATATTAAAACCAAAATATGCAGTCTTTAATGACTTGACAACAGTATCGTAACTATATCCTTTCCGAATAAGTCTGTTTAAAGGTTTGGTTAGTTTTTGAGGTGAATGCCGACATTTTTTGTGCTTTGTAAAGAATATTACCATAAAATATTGGATGTGAAATACCTGAACGTATAAGATGTCTGCATGTTGATTTATATTTACGAATGATGTCCTTGTACCGATGATAAAATTTAGTAAATGTTTTGACTAGTTTGTGTGATATCGAAAACTCTGGTGTAATAATTTTTCAGTAACACAGAGATTTCTTTCGTTGAAATCAAATAAGTTGCTACATACATGTGTAGTTATTTAACAATTCTCGGTTATATAACATTAAATCAAATATTTATTTTCCATTAGTTAAACTTGCTTACTTTTTAAGATATTGAATTATGTTAGCAAATCATTTTTTTTACAAATCGCACAAAATATTTACATATTTACATATACATACAACATCAAATCACACAATATTTTGAAAACATATTCCACAATGGTCCAATATTTTTGTTTTAAATTCAATTTTTGTATTGTCCCGATTTTTCTTCGAATCTTCTCCATAAATTTGTAACTAGATAGGCTCCGAAAAGCTCATCACATTAAGACGGGTATAATGTTCCAGGAATCAACTTTGTTTTGTCTATTCGTTTTGTTCACACATTGTTATCGATATCATGGAATTTTATATATGCGACTGTCATACAAGTGAGAGGCTTAGCTAGCTATAAAACCAGGTTTAATCCACCATTTTCTAAATAAGGAAATGCCTGTACCAAGTCAGAAATATGACAGTTGTTTTCTATTCGTTTGATGCGTTTTAGCTTTTCGTTTTGAATTTTCCTTGGAGTTTTTTGTTGTTTTTTTTTACTATTTTGTAAAAACTCCAATTATTCCTATTTTGTTCAAAACTCATATAAATTTCCTATGCAAATTCTCACTTAAGACTGGTTCTTAGTAATTTTTCGATCACCAAACTCCGGTCTTTGAGGTAGCAAGAATAGTTTTTACTGTATCTTATGGGACGCCACAGCTGTCTTATGTGGTACTCTGATATTACGTTATGTTGTATTATTATTACTTGATGATATTTTGTCTTTACATAATATGACATTACGTAATGATGCTTTAATATTACTCAATATGGAATAGTCATTACTTAATGATATTTCGATATTACATGATATGGTTTCGCATGGACTTGATATGGTTTTGTCATTACTCGATGTGGTTTCATCATTATTTAATGTGGTTGTGTTATTAGGCAATGTGGTTTCACCATTACTTGATGTGTATGTAACTTACTGTAATGTAGTTGTTTCATTACATGATGTGGTTTTGTTATTTCGTAATGATGATTTGCCAATTCCTTATATGGCTTTAACATTACATAAAGATGTTTCAAAATTTGACGATTTTACACTACATGATGTATTCGTTCCAGTATTTGATGTGGTCCTGTCATTCTTTGATGTGGTTATCACTCACATTACTTGATGAGGTAAAGCCACGTGACCATTTTGGAAAAAAAAAATAGTTCTATTTTTAGACCGATTTCTATAAGTCGTTTGTTTAATGTGCTTCGGATGAGTGTCGCTATCCATTGAGTTTAAGTTCAAATTAAAGTTCAAGTTGTTGTTCAGAGTTATTTTGTATGAAAAAGGGGAACGGCAGACAAAAACAAGAAAAAAAGTACAAAAAAAAATATCAATATTTCGGACAAAAGGGGGATATCCTCAAACCACTTGGTCCTGCCGTTTTTTGTTTCCCTTTTGTCGGTCAAAGTATTTTCAAAATTATAATTTCACATGGGGAATGGTGGTATACAGGGTTGAAAAATCAAAACATCATTACGTTATGTCAAATCCATATTATGTAAAGACAAAATATCATCAAGTAATAATTAAACTACATAACGTAATATCAGAGTACCACATAAGACAGCTGTGGCGTTCCATAGTATCTGTCATATATTTTCAATGTAGACTGATATATAAACAGATCGAAAACTTATGATTTTTGAATAAAATAAGAAATAATATATCAAATGCTTTTAAACATTCATAATACAGATGAGAGATGCTGAAGGGGTTTTATTGCTTCTAGAACAATCCAAGTGTGAAATCGATACACAATTGTAAATATCTAGAACGTTTAACGATCAGAGCGTG